TATGACAAGGGCTGGGGAGGTGGCTCAGGGGTTAAGCAGCCCTGGATTCAATCCCCAGCACCAAAAAAAAAGGTAAATCCGAGGCAGACCCTGTTCTTCGGGGCTCACCTCTGGATGGGGAGACAGATGTGTAAACAGGCACCGATCATGTGATACTGTTAGTGCCGTTGCCGTGGTGACTGGTATTTCCAAGCCAAGCATCAGACCACGTGCCTGACAAGTTCACTTAGGTTTATTGTGGTGACGACAGGACCGAGTGTTGACAATGTGGCCTGTCCCTGCAAAGCCAGGCCCTGGGTTGCCAGGATTGTAGTGGAGATGTGCTAGAGGACCCTAGGGGACCCGGCAGTCAGCGCTGCCCAGAGCCACAGGAATGTGTGGGCTTGGTGAGGCCCTGAGGGTGGGTGAGTTGCTGTGCAGAGGAGGCCAGGGCTTTGGGGGGGGAGGAAGCTGTAGTCACTGCAGCTCAGGAGGCTGAGGCAGGAGGATCGCAAGGTGGAGGCCAGCCTCAGCCACTTAGCAAGGCCCTGAGCAACTCAGCGAGACCCTGTCTCTAAATAAAATGCAAAATAGGGTTGGGATAGGGCTCAGTGGTTAGCTCCCCTGGGTTCAGTCCCCAGGACCAAGAAAAAAAAAACTGGGAGGAGCTTGCCACCCCCTATTGTTCACTTGGTACCCTCCTGCCCCAGTGGACAGGAACTGGGCTGAGTTCCCTTGGAGGGCTCCTGATCCCCAAGTGTTTCCCCCTGGTGTCCAGAGACCTGTCCGCGTGGTGTTCGGTTGGCAGCAGGAAGAAGCCCTGGTGGAAGCTCTTTGGTAGGTGGCCAATGTTATCTTCCTGGGAATGAAGACGAGAGTGCTGGAAGCCGGCAGCCTTTGTGAGCAACTGAGGCAGGATCTGTGGGCCACGTACTGAGGTCCTTTGTCACATCATGACTGGCCGCACTGAGGCCCCCTGTGCCTGGCTGCCTCTTACTACTGTGTCTGCCTGCCTGGCTGCCCATGTGCTGGTGTCATCAGCAAGTCCCTAGAGACCTGGTGTCTTATCATTGTTTTGTCCCTTAGTCTGTGGCTGGTGCTGACCTGCGCCTCAGCTCTGGAGAACAGACGCGCAGCTGCCCAGAGGAGGGGCCCAGCACCCACCCCCGGGTTGTTCTCTCCACATCCCAAGACGCCATGAAAAATAGCTCAGGAACTTGAATTTGGGTCATTGTGACCGTTTCAGTGTTTGTCCTGAGAACTCACTTGTCCAAGGTCCCTTTTTTGATTTAAAGACGCAGAGAACTTTCCACTCCCTGCCTCAGAACTCAGGAGAGAGACTTCAGATAAATTCCTCTCTGTTTCCTTCTGGAGGGACAGAGGGGAGCTCTGGGCTTTTTTGGGGGGTCCTGGGTATTGAACTTGGGGCCCTGAGCCCCGTCCCCAGCCCTTTTTATATTTTATTTAGAGGCAGGGTCTCCCTGAGTTGCTCAGGGCCTCGCTAAGTGGCTAAGGCTGGCCTCCACCTTGCGATCCTCCTGCCTCAGCCTCCCCAGCGGCTGGGATGACAGGTGTGCCAGCCTCAGCATCTCAGCCAGACTCTGTCTCAAAATAAAAAAATCAAAAGGTCTGGGGACGGGGCTCAGTGGTAAAGCACCCCTGGGTTCCATCCCTGGGACCATTAAAAAAAAATTGGCTTCTCATTACCTTCCCTGACCATCCAGGGCCAAGTACGGTGGCCTTTACCTTCTTCTGAGTGTCTGTTACCACCTTCCAGAAGTTTCCATTTGCATTCTTGCCCTTGCTAAAATGGGTGCTGTTTACACCTCATTCCCCTGCCACAGTGCTGCTTCACTGCTGAGCCCCCTCCCCAGCCCTTTTTAATCTTTGAGACATTGTAGAGGCTGGCCTCAACCTTGCGATCCTCCTGCCTCAGCCTCCCGAGTTGCAGGGATTCCAGGTGTGTGCGCCACCGGGCCCGGGCACCTCAAATCGATTTTTTTTTGACATTATACATTAAAAACACTGGCCTCAAATTTACAGTGGGTCCATAAAGATTGTAGAATGGATGCATTTATCAGGCCCCTTTTGTATGCGAGCTCCATCCAGCCAGTTGATTGTGTTCGCTGTGACCCTAATGGTCCTTTTATTGACAGATGAAAAACTGAATTAGGTTGTGGCCCAGACACACAAAGCTTGTGACAGAATGGGGTCACGATCTCGGGCCTGTCGGGGTCCAGAGCAGCCACTGCCCATTTAGCTCTCATTTGCAGGGGGTGGTGAGGGTGAGAACCCCAGGTCCTGGATTCTCCAAATATCTCCTCTGTCCCTGCCCACGTCACAGCCACAGGGTGACCTAGATTCCCTGGTCTGTAGTTATTTGCTTGTTTATTTGTTTTGCATTTTTATTTCACCTTACTTTTAGTTTTCTTTTTAAATTAACTTGTATTTTTAAAACTGTGCTTGTTGATTTTCTGTTCATGTTTATATATTGTGTAATGATGAGATCCAGGTCATGGGCATAGGGACCACGTCACACATGTGTCATTTCTTTGTGTTGGAAACAATCCAAAGTCCTCTCTGGGAGTTGCTTTGAAATATTCAATTGAAGCCGGGGGCAGTGGCCCACAGCCTGTAATCTTAGCAGCTCGGGAGGCTGAGGCAGGAGGATCGCAAGGTGGAGGCCAGCCTCAGCCACCTAGCCAGGCCTCCAGCAACTCAGCGAGACCCTGTCTCTAAATAAAAAATAAAAAGGACTGGGGACCGGGCTCAGGGGTTGAGTGTCTCTGCATTCAATTCTGGATACCAAAAAATAAAAAGAGAGGAAACCCCCCAGTAGCTCAGAATATATAGGCCAAAGTCCTTCCTTGAGGGTCTCCAAGATCCATTTTTCTGCGTATTTCTGTGTCACTCTGTTGCTGTCCTTCTCTTTACTCTGCTCCAAACAATTCTTTTTGCTTTCTTTGAATGTACCAGTCACGGTCTCTGCCCCAGGGGACACATTAGCCCATTTTCCGTTGCTATAACAAAGTGCCCGAGGCCAGATACCTTATAGAGCAAAAAGGTTCATGTGCCTCATGGTCTTCAGTATTGCGAAGCGTGACAGCAGCATCTGCTCAGCTTGACACCCCCTTGGCCACCTCATGTCATGCCAGATGGCATCACGGGAAGGTGGGGTGGGGGGAAGGCTTGTGAAGGGGAGAGATCACACAATGAGACAGGAGGCCCGAGCTGAGAAGTGTCCGGCTTCCTCTGACAACAGGAGCTACCTGGGTTCCCGTCTAGGGGACGCCCCTGTCACTCCCCTCCAAGGGCTCCATCACCTCGACCCCACCCCAGTAAGGACCAGATGCACCTCGTGAACCCTCCACATGCTCCAAATGACCGCAGGGCCTTGGGACTGCCTCCTTTCCAGAATGTTCTCTGGGCTCCCTCTCTGTCCAGTGGGTATGTCAGGGGGGCCATCCTGAGGTTCACTCCTCCCAGAATGCACAGCTCCTGTCTCTCCCAGAATGCACAGCTCCTGTCTCTGCTTGGTTTTTCTTATCACTCTCCAGTGGACTTGTATTATTATTATTGTTGTTGTTGTTATTATTATTTCAGCACCAAGGATTGAACCCAGGGCTGCCTGACCATAAGGCACGTCCCCAGCCCTTTGCCCTTTTTATTTAGAGACAGGGTCTCACTGAGTTGCTTAGGGGCTCCCTAAGTTGTGGAGGCTGGCCTCCAACTTGCAATCCTCCTGCCTCAGCCTCCCAAGTCACTGGGCTTATGGGCGTGCACCACCGCACATGGCTGTTTTAATTGTTTTGCGGTCAGGATCCTCTTCTGTTAAGAGTGGACATCTTACTGGATGACCCCATCGGGGAGCTGGTCTTGGTGAACATGTCACGTCTACTTGAAAAAAGACGTGGCCTTGTGCAGGGTTGGATGTTTTGTTCTAGAAATGTCAAGACTGAGTCAAGAGTGTTGCTTAGACACTTGTCATCCTGCTATCCCCCCCCCCCCATTGTGTATGAGCACCCACATATCAGAGAGGACACTCAGCCTTTGGTTTTTGGGGGACTGGCTTATTTCACTCAGCATGATCGTCTCCAGCTCCGTCCATGTACCATCAAATGCCATCATTTCATTCTTCTTGATGGCTGTGTAATATTCCACTGTGTATATGGACCCCAGTTTCTTTATCCATTCATCTGTTGAAGGGCACCTGTCAATTTTTCGGAAAGGGGTGTCAAAATCTTCAACTACATTTTTGGACTTATTTTTCCCTTTATTTGCATACTTTTTTTTTTCTTTAAGAAATTTAAAACTGTCATTAGACTGTATGAGATGCGCACAGCTTGGTACCATTGTGTCTCTGATAAAAGACCCTTTTGTCCTTATCTTTAGTTTGGTTGTGAGATTCGGTCTTGCTGTGCTGCCCAAGCTGGTCTCTAACTCCTGGGCTGAAGAGATCCTCCTGACTCAGCCTCCCCAATATTAAATGTCATTTATTTCTTGTAGCTCTTTATTTGGAATGGCTCCTTGGCCTGAAATTACAGTATATCATTTACATACTTTCTCATGGATATTTTATATTTATGTATAATTCATGTCCTTTCTTCCTATTTGTATCCTTACAGCATATCTTGGTGGATGGCATATATTTGGGTCTTATTATTATTATTTATTTGCATCTTGTGTTTTTTAATCTGATATCTGGCTTTTAACTCAATCATTTAGTGAACTTATGTTTCCTTATTTGTTTATTTATTGATCCTGGGGATTGAACTCCTGAGCCCCGTCCCCAGCCCTTTTGATGTGCTATTTAGAGACAGGGTCTCACTAAGTTGTTGAGGCTGGCCTCCAACTTGTGGTCCTCCTGCCTCAGCCTCCCGATCCTCTGGGATGACAGCAAGCGCTGCTCTCTGGGTCTCAGGTGGCTTGTCCCTGTGGATCTGCGGGGGGCTGGTTCTGTGGGTCCCCCTCCCTGTCCCTGTGCTCAGCGACCCCCCATTCAGGCACCCTTCTCCCCACAGCTGCAGATCTGGGACACGGCCGGCCAGGAGCGCTTCCGCACCATCACCCAGAGCTACTACCGCAGCGCCAACGGCGCCATCCTGGCCTACGACATCACCAAGCGGAGCTCCTTCCTGTCGGTCCCGCACTGGATCGAGGACGTGCGGAAGTACGCAGGCGCCAACATCGTGCAGCTGCTGATCGGTGAGCTGGGGGCAGGGCAGGGCCTGGGGGCCACAGACGGTCTTTGCCCCGCCCCCTTTTCTAGTTCCCGGATTGAACCCAGGAGCCTTTACCTCCGAACTACCCCTCCTTCTGTTTTTAATTTTGAGACAGAGTCTTGCTCAGTGGCTCGGGGACTGACATCCCAGCAGCTCGGGAGGCTGAGGCAGGAGGATCACAAGGTGGAGGCCAGCCTCAGCAACTTAGGCCCTGAGCAACTCAGCGAGACCCTGTCTCTAAATAAAATATGAAAAGGGCTGGGGACGGGGCTCAGGGGTGAAGCACCCCTGGGACCAAAAAGAGAGAGAGAGAGAGAGAGAGAGGAGGTTTACCTTGGCTCCTAGTTCTTGAGGTCCAAGGCCAACGGGCTGTTTCTGCAGATGGCCTTGTTGCTGGCAGAGCCCCGTCACGGTCACGCGCAGCAGGTGACTTGCCTTATCTCTCTGGTTTTATGAATCAGGATTCCATCTTGGGGCTCCTCCCTGATGGCCATATCTACTCGCTGTGGCCACCCCTTGTGAACACTGCAATTGGATTGTTTCTACCCTGTGAGAACCTCACGGGTCATAAACCGCATCCTGAGTTGGTGTGAGGACAAACCATGTTCAAGTCATAGGACCCGTCAGGCCCAGTGTCCACGCCTGTAGTCCCAGTGACTCAGGAGGCTGAGGCGAGAGGATTGCAAGTTGGAGGCCAGCCTCTACATTTTACCAAGACCCTGTCTTAAAACGACTGAACGAGGGCCTGGGGTTAGCTCAGGTGCAGAATTTCCCTGAATTCCATCCCCTGCACCATCCATCACCCATCAGTCAGCTTAAATCAGGTGGCCAGGTACAGTGGCCTCTGTTCCCTCAGGAGGCCAAGGCAGGAGGATCACTTGAGGCCACATGGTGAGGCCCTGTCTTTCAAATAAGGTGTTTTGGAATTATCTGGAAGGTTCCAGAATGATCTGGACGGTTCTGGAATGATCTAGCAGGTTCCAGAATGATCTAGAAGGTTCCAGAATGATCTGGAAGAACCTAGGGTGCCAGCCACCTCCCTGGAGGGCAGCCACCCTTTGAGGGTTAACGAGGCCCTAAGCGACTTAGCAAACCCCACCTCACAATAAAAATAAATATATGAATAGGTACGGAAAGGGCCATGTCCTAGCTTGGTGGCCCAGTGCCGCCAAAAAAAGGTTAGAATTAAAAAGGCCGTTTTAAGAAAGATTGTTGACTGACTGACTGACTCCACAGGACAGCTCAGGGGGAAGGGTTTACTGAGGCTCCTCGATTTAGAGGCCGTGTCTGTGGTCCCTGACCCCAAGGCTCTGGGCCTGGGTGAGGTGGGTGACAAGGACGGCCCTGCTCAGGTGGCCTTGGGCCCGCTCACTGCCCCACGTCTCCCCCCAGGGAACAAGGCGGACCTGGCTGAGCTCCGGGAGGTGCCGCTGGCCGAGGCCCAGAGCCTGGCCCGGCACTACGACATCCTGTGCGCCATCGAGACCTCGGCCAAGGACTCGCGCAACGTGGAGGAGGCCTTCCTCAGGGTGGCCACGGAGCTCATCATGCGGCACGGCGGCCCCTTGTTCAGCGAGAAGAGCAGCGACCACATCCAACTGGACAGCAAGGACGTGGCCGAGGGCTGGGGCTGTGGCTGCTGACCGGCCTCTGTCCCCCTCCGCCCCCCTGGCACCTTCCAGAGCTGGGGGAACCGCGGGGGCCACCCTGTGACCCGCCACCCTGTGATCCAGCAGGAGCAGGAGCCCAGGGCAGGTGGGAGCCCGTCCTTCACATGCCAAGACTGGCCTGAGCCCCGCAGGGCCACCACAGTGGGAAAGGGGCCGAGGTCCAACCTGTGACCACCTTCTGCCCAGCAGATGGCTGCCCCCCTAGCTTCTTCTAGATCATTCCAGAACCTTCCAGATCATTCTGGAACCTTCCAGATCATTCTGGAAATTTCTAGATCATTCCGGAACCTTCCAAATCCCTCTGGAGCCTCTGTCTGGAGCCCAGAGAGCAAGATGACCTGGGCAGCCAACTGGACTCATCCCTCGGGCTGCCCTTCCTCCTGCACTGCCAGCCCCAGGCCCCGCACCCCGGGCCTGGCTCCTGCCTTATCAGGACCTCGGGTTTTTCTGGTTTTCCATGGAGCTTGTCAGGTGGCCCAAGAGTGGGGTCGTGGCCCGTGGCCAGCTGGGCACTGTGCGTTGGCTTGGGGCCCAGGGACTGGCCACTCAGGTCGCACCGTAGCTGATCCCTGAGTGCTGGCTCAGAAGTCTGGCCAGTAGGAGACGAGGCAGGGACAGGCCTCAGAGGCCAGGGCAGCTCGGGAGGCCCTGGGTCCCTCCTCAGTGCCAGGACAGACGGAGGACTCCTCAAGACGGTCGGGGGGACCTGGAGGCCCGAGCCTGTCATCCCAGCAGCTTGGGAGGCTGAGGCAGGAGGATCACAAGTTGGAGGCCAGCCTCAGCCACTCAGGAAGACCCTGACACTAAATAAAATCTAAAAAGGGCTGGGGACGGGGCTCCGTGGTGAGGCACCCCTGGGTTCCATCCCTGGGACCAAAAAAAAAAAAAAAATTTTACCCTCCACCTGTGCTGGGTGCTGAGATCGAAGTTGGGGCCTCTTGGAAAATAGCATCGGGGACCCTGAGGGGTCCCAGTGACTGACTGAGGGGACCTGGGACCCAGTGTCAGCTCCTTGTGCACCGACACCCCTTCCCCCACCACATAAATCCGCTGTCTCTTCAGCTGAGGCCACTTCCCTGCGGTTCCTCCCAGGCTGGGCCGCCTCAGCCCCAACTTAGGGACAGCAGGAAGTGGGCGGAGCCAGAGGGGCCCGGAGCTGAAGAAGAGTCCTCAGGTCTGGGTGGACCACTGGTATTTTCTACTCCAAAGCACGAGGTGGGGCCCCTGTCGCCCTGGCCTGTGGTCTGCATTGGCCCCATTCCCAAGTTAGGGGGCCAGGTGCAGGTGTCCTGGGGCCTGGTGGCCCGGTTTCCGGCTCCAGCGCAGGGGTGGCCTGTGGTTCTAGAAGGGGGGAGGGGCTGGGCCAGGGCCACACGGAGGGTGTCATGGCAGAGCTCAGGTACTACCTGAGGGCAGGTAGTACCCATCCCTGAGGGTGTCTTTCTGCCTCAGAGGTCCTCAGATGCATCTGGGACCCGGTGTGCCAGGAATAGTATGTAGCCAAGATGTGGTGGCCCACGCCTGTCACCCTAGCTGTTCAGGAGGCTGAGGCAGGAGGATGGCAAGGTGGAGGCCAGCCTCAGCCACTTAGGCCCTGAGCAGCTCAGCGAGGCCCTGTCTCTAAATGAAACACGAAACAGGGCTGGGGATGAAACAGGGCTGGGGACGGGGGCTCCGTGGTCCAGGGCCCCTGGGTTCAATCCCTGGTGCCAAAAAAAGAAAGAAAAAAATGCTACTAATGACCCAGCAGGACACATGTCACCAGACCCTCTGGCCAGAGCCATTTCCCACAGCGAAGGCCGCATGCTGCAGGCCCTTCTGGGTCCCACCAGGAGGGGCCTCGCTGTCCCTGGGGGTTGGGCCTCTGTCCAGTGGAGACCTGGGCTTGGGTACAGGAGGGTGGGGACTGTGTGACACAAAACCTGCCGTGTCCTTCCGGGCAGCCTGGCGGCCTCCCAGGGGCCCAGGGCCTGGGGGCACTTTAATCTCTTCCTTTGTTTATAAAGTGCCCAACCCCAGGAGCAGGTGGGGCCCGGACAGCAGGAAAGGGGCGGAGCCAGAGGGGCCCGGGGCAGAAGAAGAGTCCGCGGGTCTGGGTGGACCCCTGGGATTTTCTACTCCAAAGCGGGAGTGGAGCTGGGGACCCTCCCAGAGATGCCAGAGAGGTTTTCTTTCTCCTTCCAGGAGGGGACCGGTCCCCAGGACCCGGCCCCTGGGTGGGGCAAGGAGAAAGCTCCCGATTCATATTGAATTCAGTTTCTCTCTCCAGCGGGACCCGCCCACCCTCAGGGCGGGGACAGGGCGGGTGGCAGGGGCCCAGCCAGACCCGGGGGTGGGTGTCATTTGCATTTGGGGATTTTTTCACGTCACCTATTTATGAATATTAAAAAGTCTTTATATCAGATCTATTTTTGAAAACTTGGAGAAGTGGCCTCTTTGGGACCCTCAGAGCCAGAGTGCGAATCCTGATCCATTAAACCGATTCTGAAACCCGCCATCTGTGTCTCCTCTGTGAGCCCCAGCCAGCCCTCCTCCCCCCAGGCCTCTCCTGCACCCCCTTTGGTGACAGGGAGTCAGAGACTACAGGACAAAAGAGGCCTGGGGTTGGGTCCTGTCTCGGGGAATGCTGTGTGGCCTGGGGGAACTCACTGCCCCTCTCTGGGCTGTAGGTTCCCCAGGGGGAACGGTATCGGGAGGGCTCTTTGGTGACTCTTTCTGCTTCGTGGTGGCAGGCACACAGTGGGTCCTCGGGATGCCTTTGTGCCTCAGTCGGGTACCCGGATGAGAAGCCTGGGCGCCCACAGTCCACCCGTGTGACCTAGATCTGTCTCTGATCACTACTGAGATGGAGGGTTTCCTGCTTTTGTGGCCTCCCGAGGGAAACGGGGACAGACCAGCCTCCGACGAATCCCAGGTCCAACCAGGTGCGGTGGCCCATAGCATGTCATCCCAGGGGCTTGGGAGGCTGAGGCAGGAGGATCGCAAGTTGGAGGCCAGCCTCAGCCACTTAGCAAGGCCCTGAGCCACTCAGGGAGACCCTGTCTCTAAATAAAATAGAAAAAGGGCTGGGGACGGGGTCAGGGGTCAAGTGCCCCTGGGTTCAGTCCCTGCTGCCACAATGACATGAAATGGGATGCAGAGTCCCTCTCAGCTGTCCTGTGGGTGGCTTCTCTTGGGGACCTAAGTACGGAGCCCTGTGTGTTTCCCAGAATATCTGCACACAGGGGTCTGTCCCAACACTCCAAGGTGCTCACAGGAAAAGTGTCACTTGGGAGAGAGAGCCTGTCCTTTGGGCCCCTGTGTTAACTTGCCAAGTTGTGTCCTTAAGGTCTTGGCCTTGAAAAAATGTTACTTATGACAATTTTGGTCACAATGCTTTTTTTTTTTTTTGGAATTGAACCCAGGAGCCCTTCACCACGGAGCCCTGTCCCCAGCCCTTTTTATTTTATTTTTTTAAAATTTTTTGAGATAGGGTCTCACTAAGTGGTTGAGGCTGGCCTCCACCTTGCGATCCTCCTGCCTCGGCCTCCCGAGCTGCTGGAATGGCCGACCCACGGCGCTCAGTATCGGAGCCTGAGTTTCTAGAAGAATCCAGACTCAGGTGACCAGAAGGCAAAGCAAGTCTCTGAACTCGACAGAAAAGAGCCCAGCAGCGAGTTTATTGTGGGGTGATGAGGCCTCCCGGCCTCCCGGCCTCCCGGCCTCCCGGCCTCCCGGTCTGCAGGGGACTTTAGGGCCAGGGCTCCGTGGAGACGCACAGCAGCCGAGCCAGGAGCACCAGGCCCAGGATGGCCACAGCCCCCAGGGCCACGTCCCACCAGACCCCGGGGTAGACCCAGGTGTCCTGGACCTGCCAACCGCAGCTGCCCAGTTGGAAGCCGGTCAGGTGGCCCAGGGGACGGCCGGTGGCCAGGTCGGGGCTGGCGCAGCGCAGGTCCTCCAGGGCCTCGGGCAGGCGGTCCTCCAGCCAGAGGCGCAGGTAGGTGAGGTGGCAGTCGCAGTGCCAGGGGTTGCCAGCCACCTCCAGGGTCTGCAGCTGGGGCAGGTGGTCCAGGGCCCCTGGGGACACTGACCTCAGGCTGTTGTTGGACAGCAGCAGGCGGCGGGTGCGGGCGGGCAGGGCGGGCAGTGTCCCCAGGCCCCGGGCCTGGCAGTCCACGACCAGCCCCATGGATGGCAGGCTGCGGCAGGTGCAGGGGACAGGGCAGTCGGGGGTGGCCTCGGCCAGGGCCCAGCACAGGACAAGGACGCCCCAGGCAGCCATCAGGCAGGCGGGCTCTGTGGGCACAGGGGACCCGCTCAGGACGGCCAGGTAACCCACACCCAGGACCAGGGCCCCCACTGTCCTCCCTGGGCCTCGACTTTCCCCTCTGTGAATTGGGTGACAGGGGGAGGCCAGCTCGGGGCCTTCCCTGGGGACCCTCCCTGATAATCAGAAGGCAGGACAGACCAGGCGGGGGACCCTGTCCTGCTGTGGCTGTGAGTGTCCCCGTGGAGTACCAGGGATGGAACCCAGGGGCACTGAACCCCGGAGCCCTGTCCCCAGCCCTTTTTATATTTTATTGAGGGACAGGGTCTCCCTGAGTGCCTTAGGGCTGAGGCTGGCCTCCACCTTGCGATCCTCCTGCCTCAGCCTCCCCAGCTTTGAGATGGCAGGCGTGCACCCCCCCTGCCTGGCTCCGTTCCCTTTTCTGAAGCTCCGCTTGTCCCTCCATGGCCCAGGTCCCCAGCAGCCTGGGAGGAGGGACAAGGACAGCCTTCTGTCTCCCTCCCGGCCCAGCGAGGACAGGCAGGGTGACAAGGGAACACTCACCTGTGGGCTTCAGTCGGGGCCCCCTCTGTGGCCTGTGCTGTCCTGGTGGAGGCTGTGGTGACAAAGCCCGGGGAGGAGGGGACAGTGGCTGCTGTTTGAGTGACAGGAAGGGAAGGATGGAAATAGCCCGGCTTATCTGTCACCACCAGAGGAGGTGGCCCCAGGACCTTAGGCCTGTGCCCGGGGACGGAAGGGGACCCCAGGGGACTGACCACCAGGACCTCAGGGGCTGGGCCTGCCCCAGAGAGAGACGGCCCCCCACTGGGCCCAGGAGGAGGGGAGGCCTCCTGGAGGAGGTGGCCCCTGGGATGAGAGACTCCGGGTTGTTCCCGTGACTCAGTTTTCCTCATCCGTGAAATGGAGCCACACCCCCCACCTGTCCCTGTCCCTGGCCGGCTCCGTCTTCCAGGTGCTCGGCCCCGGAGGCTCCCACTGGCCGAGGATTTTGAGGTCATTGAGGAGGTTACGGCTCTTTGTTTCAATAAAACGAGGCTGGCCTCCGATTTGCGATCCTCCTGCCTCAGCCTCCTAAGCCATCGTAGAACTTTTGTCTCCTGTAACTGAAAGGATCAAGCAGCGTCCCTACTTGTGAGGCGAGACGCCAGCGTGTCCCTGTGCACCTCAGCACGGGTGCTTTGACCTCTCACCCCTCCCTGTCCCCCTGGGGCGCTCAGGAACCAATTGGCTCTGGTCAGAAATGAAGAGTGTCCTTGTCCAATCTGTGACCAACTGTCATGTCTCTTTCCTTGTATGGCAGGGACCCTGGGTCTCTGGTTAAGTGACAGCAAGTTGACTTCGCTTCTGAAAAATACCTCCAGATGATTTAGACTGGGCCTGTCCTCCCAGAGGCTCAGGAGGCTGAGGCAGGAGGATCCCAGGGTGGAGGCTAGCCTCCGCCAAAGCGAGGCCCTGAGCCACTCAGGGAGACCCTGTCTCTAAATAAAATAGAAAAAAGGGCTGGGGACGGGGCTCCGGGGTTCAGTGACCCTGGGTTCCATCCCTGGGACCTCCCCCCCAAAAAAAAAAAAAACCCAGAAAAATCCTCCATAATTTTAAAAGGGAACTCAAAAGTATTAGGTAGGGATCTGAGATCACAGGCGACTTCCGGGGGCCTGGGGACATTGTAATGCGTTACACTGGAGCTCCCTGACCCCCCCTGCGCCTGACCCCGGGCTGGCAGGTCACTGGAAGTCCCCTGTCCCTTCTTCCATCCGGGGAACGCGCTCCCCCCTGGTGGCCAGAGTGTGGAACTACAGGGTACTTTTCGTTGTTCCTGGGGCCGTGGAAGGTCAAGTGCATGTTTTTGCCAGAAGGTGACAGAGAGGGACATTCGTTAGAACTTCCCAGAAAACATTTTGTTTTAATGAGTTGCAGACCCTTTGATTAATCCCACGGGAGCCCTTCTAGAAAGAGGCCAAAGTCAGGTGCAGGGCCCCACGCCAGTCATCCCAGCAGCTCGGGAGGCTGAGGCAGGAGGATCACAAGGTGGAGGCCAGCCTCAGCCAAACTGAGGCCCTGAGCAGCTCAGCGAGACCCTGTCTCTAAATAGAAAAAGGGCTGGGGACGGGGCTCAGGGGTCAAGTGGCTGAGGCCGGCCTCCACCTTGCGATCCTCCTGCCTCAGCCTCCCGAGCTGCTGGGATGACTGGCGTGCGCCACTGTGCCCGGCCCCCCACTTAGGACCTCACTACGATCATCCCCAACGTCATTGCTGTTGATATTTTGGGACACTCTTGTCTCTTACACCAAAGAAAAAATGAGTAAAAATCAAGGTTTTTTATTTTACTGTGTCTTAATCTTTTCTCATGATTTTCTTTTCTTTATGCGGACGCTGGGGGGGGGGGGATTTACTATCCAGATACCTTCCTCTTGGCTTCTTAGTTACAGAAGTTTCTGGAAACATGTCCACCACGGCTCCTTGACTAGAATGTGTCAGAGACAGTCTCCATTTCTAATATTATTATTATTTTTATTATTATTTTATTTCTAATATTTCTCCCCCTCCTCAGCTCGGGAGGCTGAGGCAGGAGGATCGCAAGGTGGAGGCCAGCCTCAGCCACTTAGCCAGGCCCTGGGGGTTGAACTCAGGGGCCCTCAATCCCAGAGTCCCATCCCCAGCCCCTTTTTCTATTTTATTTAGAGACAGGGTCTCACCGAGTTGCTCAGGGCCTCGCTAAGTGGCTGAGGCTGGCCTCCACCTTGCGATCCTCCTGCCTCAGCCTCCCGAGTCACTGGTATGACAGGCGGGTGTCACCGGGCCCAGCTCGGCAGGGCTTCACTGTGGACTGTGGTGTCAGGGACTGTGAAGGGAGGTGGGGGAAGGCCCAAGGAAGGGGTGGCCTTCAGGGCCTCCTGAGTGCTGATGATGTGACCGTGGTGAGGCTGGTCGTGGAGGCTGGATGGATGTGGTGAGGCCGGTAATGGAGGCCGGTGGATGGCGGTCAGGCTGACCAGTGGTGCCCACCGGCTGTGTCCGTGACCTCAGCAGGAGAGGACAAGGGGGTTGGCGAGAGCGGGGTTCGGAGAGGCCTGTCCTGGGGTTGGCCTCTGCAGGAGCTCACAGCCAGCCAGGGCTCGGTGCAGGGCGCCCAGCACAGCCGAGGGCCCAGGTGTGCCTTCTGGACAGAGAGAAGAGACAGGGGAGTGGGGACACGCTGGTCCCCGTGACCCCTGAGCCCCGTCCCCAGCCCCTTTTTCTATTTTATTTAGAGACAGGGTCTCCCTGAGTGGCTCAGGACCTCAGTTTGGCTGAGGCTGGCCTCCACCTTGCGATCCTCCTGCCTCAGCCTCCTGAGCGGCTGAGATGATGGCCACTGTGCCCCCGCGATATTTTGAACTCTCTAAAGCCCGTTCCTGACTCCCAGGGGGATGAGGGACCACGGTGTGAGCCTTTGTTCGCTGCCAGGGCTCAGGTCTGTCCAGTGCCCTGAATGGTCCCCAGCACCCAGGGGGGAGACCAGGAAACGTGGGCCAGAAGTCCCCCTCTCTGCAGGGGTGTTCAGGACAGGAATCATGTCACCACCGTGCAGACAGAACACTCAGGAAAGCCGGGGGCTGTGGCCCACGCCTGTCATCCCAGCAGCTCGGGAGGCTGAGGCAGGAGGATCGCAAGGTGGAGGCCAGCCTCAGCCACTGAGCAAGGCCCTGAGCAGCTCAGGGAGACCCTGTCTCTAAATAAAATAGAAAAAGGGCTGAGGATGGGGCTCAGGGGTGAAGCACCCCTGTTGTCCATCCCTGGGACCCAAACACAACAGGACATGGAGGACAGGAAGTGCTGTGCAACGTCTGCCCAGTCGCTCTCCTACCCTGTGCTGGGTTTTTCCAGGCGTCCAGGGTGCTCAGCAGGACCTGCCCCAGGGCTCTTTTCGAGACGTTCTTCAAAAGAAACGGAAACAGGAGTGGGTCAGACCACGGGTGGTGGGTCGTCCCTCAGCAGGTGAGTTTCTATGCAGCAACCTGGGGATGGATAAAGTGTCCCCACCCGTGGGCTGGCCACACTGGGCTCCTCATAGACCCTTGGTGGGGGGAATGGAGCCTCGAGCAGGTGCCATTGCCCCAGAGATCATGTGTGCGGTGGCCCACGCCTGTCATCCCAGCACTGGGGAGGCTGAGGCAGGAGGATCGCAAGGTGGAGGCCAGCCTCAGCCACTGAGCAAGGCCTTGAGCCACTCAGCGAGACCCTGTCTCTAAATAAAATGCAAAACAGGGCTGGGGACGGGGCTCAGGGGTTGGGTGACCCCGGGTTCCACGCACAGTACTGTCCCCAAATGGGGTGACAGCCTCCAGCCTGAGTGGAGGCCACATGCCGCTGCCGACACGACCCTGTCCCCTCTGCCGTGGGCCCACCAGGTCGAGGAGCCTCTGCAGGAGCTGCAGGACGTCGGCCAGCTTCTCCTCCAGCAGCGACAGCCGCACCCGCTCCGTTTCCACCATTTGCAGCTCCAGCCTCAGGCGCTCGTCCTCCGCCCCCTTCTGGGACTCTACCTGCGGGGACAGCGTTCACCCGGATGTCTCACCCCATCCTCGGAGCACCCCACAGGGTCACTGTCCTGCCTGAGCCTTCTCCAGAGGTCATCATGTCCAGCTCCCTCCTGCCCACCGGGCAGATGAACCCCCCAGACTCCCTTAGTTTGGCAGTGAGGCCCAGAGGAGTCAAGTGCCTGGCCCAAAGTTGCACAGCACACGTGGAACCTGATCTAAGAACTTGTGCATCTTATGTCCCAGCCGGAGGACTGCACTGTCCCTTCTCTCTCGGTCTGGTTTCTTCTGTTTTGAAAAGACATTTGTACAGGTGTCAGGCAAAGAAGTCCATCTGGGAGCAGGGCCCAGTGGCCTGTACTCCCAGCAGCTTGGGAGGCTGAGGCAGGAGGATCCCAAGGTGGAGGCCAGCCTCAGTCACTTAACCCCTGAGCCCCGTCCCCAGCCCTTTTTCTATTTTATTTAGAGACAGGGTCTCGCTGAGTTGCTCAGGGCCTTGCTATAAGTGGCTGAGGCTGGCCTCCACCTTGCGATCCTCCTGCCTCAGCCTCCCAAATTGCTGGGGTGACAGGCGCGGGTCATTGAGCCTGGCTTTGACATGGGACCTTTTCCGTCACACCCAACAAATCTCAATGGAAGGAAATGGCCTCTCCTTTCTGAGTCCTGGTTTTCTCACCCGTGAGCGGGCACAGGGCCCTGGTCCTTCTCGCCATGAGAGACTCTAGGACTGTCCCCCCCCACTGTCCCGGGGCCCTGCTGACCTCCTCCACGGGTGTCCCCAGGGCCTTCCCACCGAAGCCCTGGGCCTGCAGCTGCCCCACCAGCCTCTCGATGTGGGCCTCCAGCTCCCCCAGGCTGCAGGCGTGGTCCGTGCCCCCAAAGTGGCCCGAGGAGGTTTGGCAGGTCCTCGATGTCCGCTCGTCCCACCTGCTCAACAGGGGAGCAACGTCGTCCTTGAGACCAAGTCACCTTCTGGGCCTCTGTGCCAATCCAAGGAACCCCCAAAGGCCCCCCTGTGGCCTCCCCGACTCCTCCCCACCCCCCTGCACCAGCCACAGCACCCTGCTCCCCGCCCCACCCACCAACCAACCCCAGGGCCTTTGCACTTGCGATTGCCACTTCCCAATGCCCTTCCCTCATCGCCTCCGTGGGCGACTCCCTCATTCCGTTCAGTGCTTTGCTCAAATAGCCCCAGCGTCCCCTGTCCCCCCGTCCCCTGCTTTCTCTCTTTCTGTGACAGTCCCTAAAACAAGTCCAGGACAGGAGAACAACCATCTTGCTGCTTCCTAATTTCCAGATGCCTCAAGTTTTGCACGGTCCCAGGGACGGAACCCAGGGACACTCCACCCCTGAGCCCTGTCCCCAGCCCTTTTTTCTATTTTATTTAGAGACAGGGTCTCGCTGAGTGGCTCAGGGCCTCGCTCAATGGCTGAGGCTGGCCTCCACCTTGTGATCCTCCTGCCTCAGCCTCCTGAGCCCCTGGGATGACAGGTGGCTCCTATCGTCAGCTCCTTAGGTTCGAGCTGTCACTTGGCCCTGCTGACCTCCTCCACGGGTGTCCCCAGGGCCTTCCCACTGAAGGTGGGTCCCTTGCCCTCCGCGGGCTCTGGGCTTCTTGGACCACCCCTGACAGTCCCACCTGGTATCCCCCCACAACGTACCCCCCCTGACAGCCGGAGGGCCACTCAGCCCGGGCCTCTGGTGGCCTCTTCTGCCTCCACCACGTCTCCTCCTCTTCCTCCTCCTCATCAGAGGCCGCCTGGCCCTCCACGGAGCGGAACAGCTGTTCGTCCACTGCGGGTGGCAGGGGACACAAGATTCAGGGACGTGGGACCCCGGTGGGTGGGGACCAGCGAGCCCTGTGGCCCCCTCAGTCAGGGGAGGCTGAGACCATCCCTCGGGAGCTGGGCCGGGCTCCGCAGAGTCTGGGACTGATAAATGGTTGAGGCCGGCCTCCAACTTTCAATCCTCCTGCCTCAGCCTCCCGACCCCATGGGATGACATCCGTGCACCACCGCGCCAGGCCACCCACTTATTCTTAAGGTCAAGATTTTTGTGGTGAGGGGCTTCAGGAAAAGGGGTCCCTCGGAGCTCAGGAAGTCCCCAGCCTGAGCAGTTGGGCGGGTGCAGCGGGATGGTCACCGACATTGAGAGTCCTGTGTCCTGAGAGCCAGACTGGGCACAGGGGACAGACCTTCATCCAGGGTTCTGCTCTCTGACTGCCAGCCTTGCTCTGGAGCGGTGGCCGTGGCTCTGGTCCCAGTCTCCTCAGGGCCACCCCTCTTGACTCCTGGCTCTGGGCTACCTTGAGGGGGCGTTGACAGCTGGGGACCCTGTGACCTGCGGGCAGGAGGAGAGACCCAGGTACTGAGAAGGAGGAGAGGCTGGCAGGAGGGTCCAGCCTCTGCTCCTCCTTGGGAGTCAGCCTCCCGCGGGCCACAACTGAGCCACATCCGTGGAGAAGACGGATGTCACTCATTTGCTAAGTGGCTGAGGCTGGCCTCCAACCTGTGATCCTCCTCCCTCAGCCTCCCAAACTGCTGAGAGGACAGGCCGAGCCCGTGAAGCTTATCTCTCTATATTTTAAATCCATAAATGACATTATTCCCCGGTTCGAGCCGCAGGGCAGGCAGCCCGGAGATGGCCCTGGGCACCGCAGGGAGGTCACAGTGACCATTCAGGATCAGCTGCAGGAAGGTCCAGGATTCAGGCTCCACAGGGGACACAAGACCCATTCAAGGGCACTTGAATGGCCCTCTGAGCCCAAGAGAGAGAGGGATCTGTGTAGCAGCACGCGTGACACTGGAGGGACATGGGCCTGGGGGGCGCCCAAGCAAGTGACCAGGGCGAGACGTGGACCTGGGGGGCAGCAGAGACCGGAGGGAGGCGTGGCATGTGGCTCCTCCCACATAATCAGCATAACCCAGCCCTGGCCACTGTGATTGGCTCATGGCTGCGCGGGCTAGCCAATGAGACACGAGGGGCTGTCTGAAGGGGTTGGAGGGGGCGGAGCAGAACCTCTCCCTCCTGCAATTCCCTTTGCCGCCGCTGGGTGGCTCAGGGAGCCGCGGAGAGGACCAGGTCTGGAACTGTGACCACCCTCTGCGACTCGGAGGGGACCTTCTGGACAGGCCCCGGGGCTTGGGACAGACCCTAAAAATGACAGCAATACCAACAGGGTCCTTAATAAAGTCAGGAGTTGCTGGGTCAAGCTTTGTTCCTAAAGCCAGGGGGTAATCCTAAATTTTTGGTGACTCTGTTCCTAAATTTTTTTGGGAAAAGTGGGTGGGAATCCACCCGCGGAGGAGGCAGAACCGCGATGTGGCCCCAGCTGGAATATTATTCGGCTTGGAAAAAGAAGGAAGTTCTCAGCTGGGTGCCATGGGGCACGCCTGACATCCCAGCAGCTCCGGAGGCTGAGGCAGGAGGATCGAGAGTTGGAGGCCAGCCTCAGCAAGTTAGTGAGGCTCTGAGCAACTCAGTGAGACCCTGTCTCTAAATAAAATGCAAAATAGGGCTGGGGACAGGGGTCCCTGGTTAAGCGCCCCTGGGTTTCATCCCTGGTACCAAAAAAATAAAATGAGATACAACACACACACACACACACACACTCACCTGAGTGCCACCTAACATCACCCCCCCCCCCCCCCCCCCTACCGAAGGAAACTACAAAAAGCCCCTGTCCCCCCCCCCCCTGACTCCCCCCCCCCCCCCCCCCCCCCCCCCCCACCATTTGCAAAGGCAATATTTAAAAGGTCCTTGTCCTTCCACTTCCTAGGACCTCCCCCAGGTCCCCCTTCCCAGAGTCCCATTGCTGCTTACTGATGAATGGAAGGGGAAAATAGACAGAGGTAGCTCAGAGATGGTGAGAGAGTTGTGGAGGTCACACAGCAATTCTCCTGGGAAGCCAAACCCAGTGCTGGTGGCTCCGGGACCCCGTGGCTTGGCAGCAGAAAACGGAGGGAGGGGTGTGTCCGATGGCACTCAGGGACGCGGGAGGGGGTGGGGGGAGAGCAACATCTGGCCCTTGTCAGATTATGTAAGCTGCTGGGCTGGGAGCCACTGTGGCCGTCAGACTCCAGCAGGAGGAAGACCTCAGAGGCTCTCCCCCGGGGGCATCTGCTGCGAGGCGAGGCGGGCAGATGTGGCCAGCTGCAGGGAACGCCCAGCCGCACCAGGACTCAGTGTGAGGGCAGGGGGACCGCCACCAGGGCCCGCCTTTCCCCAGAACGACCCAGAGCCCAGAGGGTGGCCGGCGTCGCTCTGGCCACCTCCAGCTCACCCCTGAGCCCCGTCCCCAGTCTCTTATTTTTTTACTTTGAGACAGGGTCTCGCTGAGTTGCTGACGGCCCTGCTAAGTGGCTGAGGCTGGCCTCCAACTTGCGATCCTCCTGCCTGAGCCTCCTGAGCTGCTGGGATGACAGGTGTGCGCCATCCCACCCAGCTGGGAGGTGGAGCCTAGCGGGAGGTGGAGCCTAGCAGGAGGAGGAGCCTAGTGGGAGGTGGAGCCTAGCGGGAGGAGGAGCCTAGCGGGAGGAGGAGCCTAGCTGGAGGTGCAGCCTAGCAGGAGGAGGAGCCTAGCGGGAGGTGGAGCCTAGCAGGAGGAGGAACCTAGCGGGAGGTGGAGCCTAGCGGTAGGAGGAGCCTAGTGGGAGGTGGAGCCTAGCAGGAGGAGGAGCCTAGCAGGAGGTGGAGCCT